AAAGGGGAACAAACCTCGTGACCAGACGAGTTCCCACGCTCAGAATCCGAGTCCCCGTCCGATTCCCCGTCTCTATCGTGCATCTGTGCGCTGCAATCAACATCCTCAATTACGATAATCGACCGATTGTTGGTACTCAACAGCGTCCTCCTCAGATCCGAATTCGAGTACACGCTGGTGAGCTCCAGATCGTAGACATCGAACTTTAGGTAGTTGGCCATCGCCGCCACCAGGCTGGATTTCCCCGTCCCCGGCGGCCCGTACAGCAGGTAACCCCTCTTCCACGCCTTTCCCACCCTCCGATAATACTCTTTCCTCCTCACGAACCGGTCCAGGTCCTCGATTACCGCCCGCTTCAGATCTGGATCCATGGCCAGCTTCTCGAACGTGGCCGGGTGGTCCAGGTTGACGCAACCCCAGTACCCGTTCCCACTCCCACCGTCCTCGTCGTTGTCGCTGAAGGGACAGTCCCTCGTGTACAGCTTCACCGCCCTGTCCTTCTCCCTGATTTCCTTCGCACGCGACAGCACGTGCGGCAGGTACTCCTCGACCACCGCCTCTTTGTTCGATTTCTCGAACGTCAGCTCGAAGTAGCGCTTCTCCGTCTGGTACTTCCGTCGATCTCCATCCGGTTCGACGAGGACGAACTGCCACGTCAGATCGAAGCCTTGGAAGCGGTCGGCAACCTCCTGGTCCCGGACGATGCCGAGCGTGATGGTCTTCTGCTTGGCGGTCTTGTTGACCCGCAGGCGGTCGGTGTCCGGGTTGATCTTCGTCCGGAGGTAGATCTCGGCGGCCTCGTAGATTTGATTGGGGAGGATACCGGACTGCTCGTCGACGATTAGTGTCATGAGCTTGGGCTTTCTGAAGCGGAATAGCCGGTCGAGGAGGCGCTTGAGGAAGGGGCCGAAGGTGGTGTGGAAGAAGGAGCGGACGGGCTCTGGGATGACGTCGTTGGCGATCGAGCGGAAGAGCATGATGGAGGCCGCCATGGACGCGTAGGCGGAGAAGAAATTGGTCGCCATCGATTGCATCTCCCCAACAGACTGCATTTTTTTTTTTCTTTTTTGGATTTTAATTTATAAGAAGAAACTGAGAAATTGTGATTTTGGTCACGAGTTTTTATCCTTTTTATAGGGAGATTGGGCCTGAACAGGGTTTATGAGGCGTCAAACATTTGGTCAAAGCTTAAGGAGGAAGAAGAAGATGGGGTTTGGGAATCTGGTGACGTGGGAGAGTATGATTGGGTGGGAAGGCGCGGTTGCAGGGTAAGGGTGTGGGTGGAGGGCGTATGTGATCGGGACTCGACTTGGTGGCCACGCTTGTACAGTGTGAACGAGTAGATTTTTCAGAGGATTGAGGAGAATTGATTGGGGGTGTAGGTATTGATTTAGTCTCGCGCAATGCAAAGTTTTGTTAATTGCGTTTGTGTTGTTTTGGTAAAGTTATTTTGCTGCTTATAGTTATTGATAGTACCTTTTTTTATTTTTATTTATAAATACGAGACACATGATTAATTAAGAGTTAAGACATGAATAAAGTGGGGTTTTCAAATTGAGGCACAACTATCTATTATAGAGTTATATATCGTTGAAAAAAAAAAATTGAGGCACAACTAGGTTGTAAGCGGATATGAGATCAAACTCCAAATAATCCTTCACTTAAGGGAGTGGACCTTGGCTTGTTTAGTATACGAACTCAAGTTTGATTCGTTTATCAATATTAACTAATCGAGTTTGAGCTTGAAAAAGTGGAGTTAAAAAAAAAAATTAAGTAGATATTTTTATTCTCGAACCTTAATGAGTTGTGTTGAGTCGAGCCTGAAAAAGTAATGAGCAACTCATTTCATTTAACAATTCTAGACACAACAAATGTTTAGACCAACTATTTGTCATATTATTTTGGTAAAAAAATAAAAATACATATTTTTATTATTAAATACTTCATCTATTTTTTTTAGATGTCGTTTTAATTTAAAACTTCTAAATTACGATTTTCATGGGATGTGTAATAATCTTATATATTAATCCTCATAAATTTAGTGTTTGAATTATTAATGGTTGGTTTTTAAAGATAATGATAAGAGATAAAGTTGTCAAAGGGGATAAAGTTGAAAGAATGAATAAAATATTTCCAACGACAATTAATTTGCAAAAAAGTTGACATCCTACAACGACATGTATTAAGAAACAAAGGGAGTATTATAGTTTCACTTATGTTATTTATTTAAGATATAATTTGTTATTATAACAATATATTTATTAAAAAATTATGAAAATATTGAAGTGTAAATTTTATATTAATAAACTTGGGATTAACTTAACAAATGTTCCTTTTAATATTGCAAAGTTTGTTGATAGTCCCTAGATCACAGTGACAAAAATGTGGCTCCGTCTGTTGGAACACTCTAGTATTTTCATCGGCTATAAGGGATTAGCGGTTTTTTTCTCACTATTTTGCGATATCCGAAATCATGCCAAGTGACAATTCGAAGAAAAACCTTGAGAAGGATATGGAAGCTGCATGACCGAAGAGGGCACATGGATTCGACCCACCCCCGGGTTGGCCGCAATCCTGCAGTGCTCTCATCATGCCTCAGGAAACATTGTCTGGACCTCGGGTAGTGTTAACTCCATTAATTGATGCACCAGAAGGATCCATTGGTGGGGAAGAAATACCCACAGTCAGCAGGAGAAATAGGATCAAGGGATAGTGGTCCGTGCGGTGGATCGAGGTAAAGAGCAGTAGCAAGGCGACGTATTGGTCAATCGACCTAAGGAGCAAGTCGAAATGCATCAGCTTAATGACGAAAGGCAAGAGGATCTTCGAGGAGACGAGGTCTTCCAGCTCACCCTGGAGGAATCAAACAAGATCGTAACTGAGGTGATGGCTTGAGTTCAAGAGCCCAGACAACAAGATCGCACTGCGTCGCAACCATGGCCCCAGAGGAATGAGAGGTCATAGAAGAGTCGTTGCTGACAACCACAACAAGGCCATGGGAAACGAGGATAGAAAGGTTAGTAGCTCAAGTTAGAGAACTACAAGCTAATGTCAGGGGAAGGATGGTCCCTCGGGTCCAAGGTCATCCCTTTTTCTGACGAAGTCCTAGAAGCAAATCTGCACAACAACTTTCGCGAACTGAGCTTATCTTATGATGGCTCAATAGACCTTTCCCGGCATCTAAGGACGTTAAAAAACGTTGGAGTAATCCATAAGTATAGCGACATCGTTTGTTGTAGGGCCTTCCTCAGCACATTGAGGGAGTAGGCCCAAGACTGGTTTCATCAGTTGCCGACAGACTCGATTTATTCGTTCAGCCAATTCAACTCCCAGTTTGTTAATCAGTTCTCAAGTGCAAAAAAGCATGAGAAGACTTATCTAGCACTAATAGACATGCAACAAAAAAGAATGAGAGTCGCTCTGAGACTATGTTGCTCGCTATACCAAGGAGTATGTAATAGTCCCCTCGGTGTCTGAGGAAATAAAAGTCAGAGGCCTGATTTGAGGTCTTCATCTATGACCGTGCCGAAATATAAGCCACTTGCGAAGAAGTCAACTAGGTCTTTTGAGGCTGCTAGAGAGGTGCAACAGTTACATCAATACAGAAGAGGCTGAGGCGGATTTCCTACAAAATGACAGAAAAAAAAACAAAGAAGATAGACCAGAAAAAGTAATGATCTAGCGACAAGAGATCACCAAATAAGGAGATAAAGGGCAGATGATCGGACAAAGTTAGTATTTAAGTACAAGCAGCACACTCTGTTGACAATGCCCCAGAGAGATGTGTTTGAGTTCCTTGAGAAGCGAGGTGAAGTGGACACCCTTTCCAGGCCTAATTCCATTCTTAGAAGAAAGGGATATGTGCCCCAAAGACGTGATCCCTACTGTTAGTATCACAGAGACTGTGACCATTCAACAAACAGTTGTAGAGAGCTAAAAGAGAGGGTCATTCGAGTCGGACACCTCAAGGAGTTCTCTATGAAAGATAGAGAGAGAAGAGACGACTGCGAGGCCGTAGAGAAACTCATAGGCACATAAGGGCTCGAAGAAAGGTCGCTCAAGAGGAGCGTGATTCAAATGATCGCTGGGGGACCGACTGATAAGTGTTGGGTTCGCTATACCGTATGGGGTGAAACGCAACGAAAATTAAACGAAATAAACAAGCATTTATCGAATAAATACTAAACCCATCGGCTCTCATAGCGATTGTATCGATCGGAGTCTTTTAAAATCACATAATAGTACGAATTTTGATTTGTAGAGAATCTCAAAAATTACCTCTTATTTTTCTCCAAATAATGACGATCAAGAGGGAATCGATTCCCGTTTATGTGGCTATCACCGTCTTCGTACGTCTCACCGTAGGGATCCACTTGTCTCCCCTCTAATCGAGTCCACCTTTTGGATTCCGACTTCAAGGACAACTTCTTCGCTAGTAGAATCCTCTCGTACTTCAATCAGTATTTTGGAATTAGAAACTGAGAGAGGAGATNCACGTGTGGTATATATATATATATATATATATATATATAGGATGTGGTTCAAATGAGAACCAAGTCCTAGCGTGAGAACCGCTATTTATAGTTGCAAGTAGTGCTATGATTTATTGTGTTTTAATGCTATTTTTAACATGGATTTATTTTCTTAAAAATAGCAACACAATTTATATTAGTATTTGTGAAAATGATAGCACCACGTGATATTAAAAATAGCATCATAAACAATAAAAAATAGCATCAAATACGGTTCTCACACCAGGACTAGTTTTTATTTGAACCACTCCCTATATATATATCCCTTTATATATATATAGTCACGTTTCGGTGAGAATAGTGCTAAACGAAAGAAATAAGAATAAATCTTAGCCACATAATTTGATGTGGTCATTTCATCAACCACCCCCATAACAGTGGGACCCACCCACACCAAACAATCAAAACGCACCAGGTCATTTCTCTCCCCTCTCACACACACATTTTCTCTCTCACATGTTCTCTCCCCTCTCTCTCACACACTTTCTCTCTCACATGTTCTCGCTCTCTATCACAAACACACAGACTCACGACCGACCGCACCACTCCCTCCGCCTAGCTCCCACCGGCATTACTTCCGCCGCCGCACACACCCACCACAACGTCTCGTCATCTCAATTTCGTCATTGATATGCTATCGGAGGGCGGAGACACCGGTGATCCCGGCGCAAGCGGCTGCACATGGCGGTCGGTGCCGCACCGGCGGACGCACAAACACACAGTCCGATCCACATATTCCCTCCGCCGCCATTTTTTTTTTTTTTCAGAAGAACTTCTGTCGGACACACACATGACCTCCAGCCAGAGTGGCCAACCACCGTCGCACCTCGACCAGATCCGAGCAGCTCGCCATGGCCATTGGCCACGGACACACACTCACACACATACACTGCGGCTAATCGAGGAGGCGACAACGACAGTCGCGTTGGCTTACACGGCGACGTTCGAGTGGTCAGTTTGTGGTTTCACAGTCGCACCATGACACTGATTTCATAGAGGCTTAAATTTTTAAATTAGATAAACGTTAAGAACTTGTATGCAATTGTAGATATTTTATTCTAAAATATTATTTACAAATATATTTAGTTTGCATAATACAAAAATAATATAAAAATATTAAACAAAAATATAAAATATTAAATATAATTTTATTGTTCAAATAATAAATTATTCCGATTATTTGAATTACACGTTATGATATACATAATTTTATTATATTTTTCAATAAACATTATATAAATATTAAATAAAAGTATTAAAGTACTGATGATATTCTTATAAAAAATTGTTACACTTCAAGTGCACATGAGTGCTATACAGATTGCACACTAGTGACTAACAGATTGCACTATAGCCGTCGAAACAGTAGACAAAGTTTTGGGTTCGAAGTTTATATCTTGGTTTGATTATTTGTTTTATACTTTTAAAATTTTTGTTATCTCGATTCAACGTCGACTTTATTGTTTTAAATAACCATAAGATCGAACAATATAAAAGAATGTTATTTTTTATATAAATAATGTTATATGTTTATATATATATTAGGTATTTGCAACAAAAAAATAATAATAAAGAATATTAAATAAAAATATTAAAATACTAAATATATTTTCATAATATAAATTATAAATTATTTAGATTACTTAGGTTAATTCAGTTAATTGATAGAATAAATCGATTATTTCAGTTTTTAGCTTTGTTAATTCATTCTTCCTAGGCACTAATACTCCTAAAAATGGAAATGCGTGAAAGAAAAAGTCAAATAGTCACACCCTAAAGCATTTCATTATTTATGATTCTGTGGCATCACAAAGCAGCATATGATAAACACGCTCGGTTTTATATCTCATAACTCAAGTAGGCAGTGTTGATCGTATAACGACAGTCAGGAACTCAAGAGCTTTCTCCTCGACCGAGGACACTTTGGTGATCGTGCAATCCATTCAAGGTCCGAGTGTTTGTTAATCTTCATCACTATATCCACATCCAGATAGAGCAGCTGCACATATATTCGCAATTTCATTTAGAGGTCCATATCCATTCGCAAACTCATCATGTCCATATCCAGAAGGATCGATTTTATTTTCCTCACAATCAGCCCCATCATCATCCTTGCTTTTATTCTTGTCCTCTGTTCTCCCATTATTAATCTTCTCATCCCTCTTCTTCTTCAACAAGTCCACCACACCTTCAAGTGCCATGTCAGCATCCTCGTTCCTCATCAAGTGCTCCGCCACCTCAGCCGGCGTTATCTCAACCTCTCCAATCAAATCCTTAATCTCACCAAACATCGGATGATGATCCTCCACTACTCCCAAGTAGTTCTTTGCCAAGGTTTCGAAACCTTGTGCCGTGCAGTAACCCATGTGAATGTGCATGTCCATTCGCCCGGGCCGTAAAAGTGCAGGGTCGATTTTTTCCTTGTGATTAGTGGTGAAAACAATTATCCTCTCATCACCACAAGTCGACCAAAGCCCGTCTATGAAGTTCAGTAGGCCCGACAAAGTCAGCTGCTCATCCTCTTGTGATTCTTGGAGATTTCTACAATTTCTACTCTGCATCTGGCGACTGCAGTCAATGTCCTCAATCACCACAATGGACCGGTTATTAGTGTTGAGAAGCATCGTTCGCAAATCCATGTTCGAGTACATCCCCGTGAGCTCGAGGTCATACACGTCAAACTTGAGGTAATTGGCCATGGCTGCCACGAGGCTCGATTTTCCAGTCCCAGGCGGGCCGTACAGGAGATAACCCCTCTTCCAAGCCTTGCCTACTCTTCTGTAGTAATCCTTCCTTCTCACAAACCGGTCGAGGTCCTCGATCACGGCCCGTTTCAGGCCCGGGTCCATTGCTAGGGTCTCGAAAGTGGCTGGGTGGTCAAGGTTCACGTAACCCAACATTCCGGACCGGCCAGCGCCGTAGTCGTAATCATCTTCGCTGCCGCCAGAGTACTGGCGAGTGGAGGTGGAGTACAGCCTCACGGGTCGATCCTTCTCCTTTATCTCCTTGGCCCTCAGGAGGACTACAGGGAGGTAGTCGTTGACCACGGTCTCCCGGTTTGACTTGTCGAACGACAGTTCAAAGTAGCGCTTCTCCTGACGGTAGTTCTCGGATGAGTGGTCCGGCTCGACGTGGACAAACTGCCAAGTCAGGTCGAAGCCGGCGAACCGGTCCTCGACCGGCAGGTTCTGGACAAGACCGAGGGTGATGGTCTTCTGTTTGGCGGTCTTGTGGACCCGAAGGCGGTCTGAGTCCGGGCGGAGTTTGGTTTGGAGGTAGATCTCGGCGGATTCGTAGATCTGGTTTGGGAGGAGGCCGGCCTTTTCGTCGACGACGAGGGTCGTGCGTTCGGGTTTGTCGGAGGAAGGGAAGAACTGGCGGAGGAGGCGGAGGAGGTAAGGGCCGACGGTGTAGAGGAAGAAGGATCGGATCGGCTGCGGGATGGCGTCGTTGGCGATCGATCGGAAGAGCATGACGGTGGCCGCCATGGAAGCGTAGGCGGAGAAGTATCTGGTCGCCATTGATTGAACCTCCACAAACGATTGCATCTTTGCGTCTTTTGCTTTTCCGTTGATGATTTGGGGAGATTTTTTGTGGTTTCGTTATTGCTGCCGAGTTTGTGTCCTTTTAATAGGGAAGAGGAGGAGTCCAGCATTGTTTAGGAATGGGGTGACGTGGGGATATGTGATTGGTTTATAGAGAGGCGGTTGTGAGGTAGGTTTTTGGGGGATTGTGATAGACTTGGGGGCAAGCATTGTTTAGAATAATATAATACTACTCCCTCCATTTTGAAACAAGTGTGTACCCCGTGCGATGCACGACAACAATATTAAACTAACAATATTATAAATAGACTTCGAGTTTGAGTCACTCAATAGTCGAAGTGGAAACTACTATTGATGCTATTTAAAAAGAGGAAGAAAAAAAATAATTATATATTAAAGAGGAGGATAAACAATACTTAATAATTATAAATTAAAGATTCGGGGTCAAACAACGTAAAATTATTTTGTATAAGAGAATATAAAAAATTTGATTACACACCATTTCAAAATTATTATTATACTTTTTTGTATAGTTAGTTTTTAATAGTTATAAAAATATTAGTAATTAGACCGATGAAAATTAGTTTCTTGAAATAGATAATGGATTTCTAGTAGTAATTATGAATTGATTTATATTTTATTTTATTTTTTCTTTTTAAATATAATGGATTTCTAGTAGTAATTATGAATTGGTTTTTATTTTATTTTATTTTTTCAAATCTGTATAGATAAGGGATGAGATTTTTTAAACACGTGAGACGTATGCAATGAGATTTTGTAACAGAAGAGATAAGCTCGTGTAGATTTATACTAAATATAGGAAAAAGAAAAACAAATATTTATTGTCAAACAAAGATTTTGATAAACTAAAAAATAAGAAAAAGAGAACAAATCTTTACACACTTAATGAGCCGATTTTTTTGCCTATTTAGATTTTTCCAACAATTACTATATATAGGATATATTTAATGATTTTGGCGGGAAAAAGTTTCTAAATTTGTAAAAAGGTTATTCTTTTTATATAATGATAGATATAAGACATTTAAGGTTATTGCACAAATATTAAGGAGACATTAATTAATGAATAAATTGACTAAATTAACCTTATTTACTCTAATCACAACCACTCCACACTTTCTTAATTCAACACAACGAGGGTATATTTGGAAAAAAATGTAAAAATTTGTCTTGATTTTTGAGCGCGCCTTATATTTTAAAAAAATTGAGAAATCTTTATACGCCTTATATTTCAAAATGGAGGGAGTATGTTTTAAATTACTCTTTTCATCCAAAGAAAAAGAATAATTCAATGACAAAACCTCGAAAACAAAAATTCTCTCACTTGGGAGCGATATTCTCTCCTTGAGAGACCTTAGAATTTCCTTTGATTCACTGGAAATGTTGATGAATTCTCTCACTTGAGGGCTTCTCCATGTTAAGCTTTTAGAATTTCCTCTCATTGGTGTTGTTTGCTTTTTATTTTGCGTTTCTTATCCCATTCTCTTCTAGGGTTAGGATTCCCATTTGGGATTTTCGCTTTTTCCTTTTCTTTCTTATTTTTTTCATTTCTTTCCTTTGGTCCTGGGTGAGGGCTTCATTTGGGGCTATCTGCCTGCTAGGAGCGAGCGAGGATTGTGCGAGCAGATCTAGAATGTCTTCAAAAGTGACAGAAGCTACTAGGGCAGGGGGTACGGCTGATGAATTGGGAGATAAACTGAGAAAGATGGGACTGTCGGAATCAGAGGCAGAAATCTTTGAGTTAGGGGAGGACGATATACAGGTTAGCGCTGAAGAGTGTGATAGAAGCCTGCTGGGGAAGGTTATAGGAGACAGGAAGGCCAGTCTCCTGGGCATAAGGAGAACTATGACGTCAATATGGCAGATTCAAGAAAAACTTGAGGTAAAGGAGCTCAAATCTAATTTTTTCCAATTCAACTTTGGGAGTCAAGATGATAAGAAGAAAGTGTTAGGCGGGGTGAACTGGTTATTTGAAAATCAATACTTGATTCTGAAGGAATGGGAGGATGGGCTGAATTTAAATCATGTTGGATTTTCTGAGCTAAATCTATGGGTTCAAGTGAATAACCTTCCTTTGAATTGGCTAAGCTCAGAGGTTGGTGTTAAAATAGGCAGAATGTCTAAGAAAATAAAAAACGTGGCTGTGATAAAGGCAGGTGGGAACAGGGGCACCTACCTGAGGCTATTAGTCACAGTTGACATAACAAAGCCACTGCCAAGATGTATGAATATGAAGTTGAATAATCAGCAAGTGCTAGTCAATTTCCAATATGAGAGACTGGTAAATCTATGTTACTATTGTGGTGTAATAGGCCATCTTGATAGAATCTGTGAAAAGAGAGCTTTGGATATAGAGAATGAAAATCTGCAAGGGGGCAGATTTGGAGATTGGATGAAAGCTATGGATGGTAGAATGGGACCATGGAACTCATCAGACAGTAACCCTGCTACTCAATCCCATGAGGTGCCATACCAGGATACCAATCAAATTCCAGAACCTGTGGGGTTAGGAAATTACCTGGTCTCTCCAGGTAGTAAGCAGTCACATAACCACTCAGTTGAAGGGCAGAGCAGAACTCAAGTTCCAGAAAATAGAAGGGACTCTCTGTTAGAGATGGAGGAAACTGGAGGAGTGCAAGATGAGGTAGAAACTAATGAGCATGGCAAAGTAGGGGAGGGGCATAATATTAAACCAGCTCTTATGATAGTGGAGGAGGAAGATGCAGGGGTTGTGGCAGTGCAACTTTCAACCCATCCTCTACAACAATTGACACCAATGGAGACTCAAGGGGTTAAGGCTGCTATGAAGAGAGGATGGAAAAGAGACCTAAACCAGGATAGAAGACATGCCATCATGAAAGAGCAGAATGAAAAACAAGAGGCCAATACAACTAGGAAGAGGTTGCTCAGTATAGAAGAGGAAGAAGAAGAAAATGGAAGTGAAACAACTGTAAGGGTGAACAAGGACAAGAAACAGAGAATGAATGACAATGAGGTGGTGGTAGCCAGCCTGAATTGGCCCCCTAGTGGCCAATGAAGGCTATGGTGTGGAACTGTAGAGGTCTGGGAGGACCCTCTACAGTTTCCCAGTTAAAGGAGTCAACAAGACTTCACCTCTCCAGCTTTTTTTTTTTGGCTGAAACAAAAAAAACTTCTGTCTTTGTAAATATTGTTTGTAATAAAATAGGATATCAGGGTAGATGGGATGCTATTGAACCTCAGGGTTTAAGTGGGGGTTTATTACTGCTTTGGGCTAGGGATGTTGAGATTATCCAGATCATTAAGAGCCAATTTAGTTTTGAAGTGGAGGTGGCTAATAGTATAAGAGGGGGTTCCTACTGGATTATATTTGTCTATGCTAGTGCTAGTAGGAGGATTAGGGAAGATCAGTAGGAGTATTTGATTAGTGCAAGAGCTAAATGGGGAGATAATTGGGTAGCAGGTGGGGATTGGAATGAGATCTTTGAAATAGATGAGAAGAGAGGGGGGGGGGGGGGAGGGGATTTAGGGACTTTTATGCTAGGATGGGCATGCAGGATATCAATATGACTGGGCATAGATTCACTTGAGGAACAATAGGGATGAAGAGGGCTTTATTGAAGAAAGAATTGACAGATTCTTTGCTTCTTATGGGTGGCTTGCAAATCACTCCAGAGCTAGTGTGGTGAATACATTCAGAAGCTTATCAGATCACCACTTATTAGTTCTTGATACTAATCCAGAGGGGGGCAAGCATAGGAAAAAGAGGTTTGTATTTGATAAGAGATGGCTGAAAGTGGAAGGTGTGCAAGAAACTGTCAAAAAAGCTTGGGAGCAGCCCAAAACTGGAACACCAATGTTCAAAGTACCAGAAAGGGTAAAGGAAACAAGAATTGCTCTCCTTAAATGGAGCAGTTCTTTCAAAGCAGACAGTGAGAGGCATAAACAGCATTTAAACCAGTAGTTGGAAAACCTGAGACTTCAAGCAGGAGCCAGAGACTGGGGAGAGTGGTTCAGAATATAGAAGGAGCTGGATTTGGAATACAAAAGAGAGGAAGAATTTTGGACTCAAAAATCCAGAGTCAAATGGCTTCAGGAGGGGGATACAAATTCCAAGTACTTTCATGCTGTAACAATGCAAAGGAGGAAAGCAAATGAAATAAAGAGGCTGGTTAGTTCTGATGGTGTGGTGCATGAAACTTCTAAAGAGATTGAGGAATGCTTGGTTGACTTCTATGACAAACTATTCACCTCTGAAGGTTCAAGGGATGATGGAGAGGTGCTTCAAAATGTGCCTGTAGTCATTATAGAGGAAATGAACCAGAGATTAGTAGCTCATATCCCTGAAGAAGATGTTAAAGAAGCTCTGTTCAGCATGAATCCAAACAAAGCTCCTGGGCAAGATGGTATGTCCCCCTTATTCTTTCAAAAATTTTGGGATGTCATTAAAGTTGATCTGTGCACTGCCATTTTTAGCTTCTTTGAATCTTGCCAATTATTGAGAAATTGGAATCATACTATTCTCACTTTGATACCTAAATGTCCTAATCCTGAATCTGTGAGCAATTATAGACCTATCAGTTTATGTGGTGTGTCCTATAAAATCATCTCCAAATTTTTGACTGTTAGATTGAAAGAGTGTATCAGCTTTTGTATTAGCCAAAACCAGTCTGCCTTCATTCAAGGGAGGCAGTTACTTGACAATGTTATATTAGCCCAGGAAGCCATTCATTTTCTTAATAGACATAGATCTGGGTTAAATAGGTTTATGGCTGTCAAGCTGGACATGGAAAAAGCCTGTAACAGGGTTGAGTGGAATTGCATTAAACAAATCCTGATGAAATTTGGCTTTCACATTACTTTTTTCAAATGGATTCTTGCATGCATTTCTTCTGCTGCCTTCTCTTTTAACTTGAATGGAGAGATTAAAGGCTTTGTAAAAGCATCAAGAGGAATAAGACAGGGGGATCCATTGTCCCCATATCTATTCATCTTGGTGTCTGAAGTTTTTACCAGACTGTTAAGGGCAGAAGAAGAGTGTGGCAATTTCTGTGGGCTGAGCATTTCTAAGCAAGGGCCTAAATTCTCCCATCTTCTTTTTGTTGATGATGCTCTTATATTCAGCAAGGCTGATAGTAGGCATGCTAGAATTTTGTTGGATATTCTCAGAAAGTACAAGGGGTTCATTGGGCAAAATGTAAATCTTGCTAAATCTTCTGTTTTCTTTAGTAAGAACACTTCTGTGGGGACTCAGCTGAGTATTAGTTAGGTTCTTGCTGGGATTTCTATTCATAAATCTGCTAGGTATCTGGGGCTGTCATTAGGGATAGGAAAATCTAAAAAGGAGTGCTTTAATTTTGTTGTGGATTCTGTGAGAAGAAAATTGGTCACTTGGAAGAATAGATTTTTATCTAATGCTGGCAAGGAAGTGCTTCTAAAGTCTGTGATCAATGCTATGCCTATATTTTGTATGTCATGTTTCTGCTTACCAAAAGGAATCTGCCAGGAGATTACCAAACTAAGTGCAGGCTTTTGGTGGTCTAAAGGGGACAAACAGGAAGCAGGAATGCATTGAAAGAGCTGGAAAACTGTTACCATTCCAAAGGAGCATGGGGGACTGGGATTTCATGATATCCTGTTATTCAATGAGGCACTGATTCTGAAGCAATTGTGGAGAATAACCACTCACCCTAACCTGTTGGTAAGCAAGATCCTTAAAGGAAGATACTTTCCAAAAAGCTCTCTCCTGCAAGCTAAAACTTCTTACAATGCATCCTGGATGTGGAGGAATTGGTTGAAAGTCAGGGACAAACATAGGATGGGATTCAGAATGCAAATCAGGAATGGCAAAATGGCTGACATTTGGGAAACACCATGGATTCCAGGAACTACAACAGGGATCCCTCTAAAGAGAAGTGATGCTGAGTGCACTCTGACAAAGGTGGAAGATATCATAAATGAGGGAGGCAAGAGCTGGAATGATGAGCTACTCCAAGAATGGTACAAATGATGATATTGAGAACATCTAAAACATCAGAACTCTTAATCCTGAACTTGAAGATAAATGATGCTGGAACTTTGATCCAAAAGGTACATTCTCAGTAGCTTCTACATATTCCTATCTAGTGATGATGAAGTTGAGGGAAATGGATGTGCCTGAAAGTAGCAGAGCAGGAAACCAAGAGAAAAAAGCCAGAAAAAGAAGTTGGGGACTGCACATCAAAGGCAAAATGAAGCATTTCCTATGGAAATGTTTCACAGGGATTCTGCCAGTCAGTGGGAAGCTAATGGAAAGGGGTTTGAGCATTGATCCTATCTGCCAAGTTTGTGGCGACGAGGTGGAAACCATTGAACATGCCCTCTTAGAATGCAACAGAGCAGTTAAAGTTTGGGAATTGGCACCAGTCAATTGGGAAGGGTTAAAGGCTGAAACTCCCAACTTTAGAAGATGGTGGTGGGAAATCTGTGGAATGGACAAGAAGGTGACTACTGAGGGTAGAATTCAGCTGAGCACATACATTTTATGGTGGCTATGGAAGTCACGGAACCTTTGGAAATTTCAGCAAATCCAAATGCCAGAACAAGAAGTTATCAGGGTGGCTTGTCAAGAATGGATGGAATATGGGTTGGTGGTAGCACTAAGACACAAGTAATCTGCTAAGTACCGGTGCTAGGTCTCTTATGAGTTCAATGGTGCAGCTTAGTGGCTTTGTGTTTAGGTGATGGTGATAATGAATGATGATAGTGTATGGAACTGCATTAATCATGTCTGAGAGGTTCAATGAAGTAATTGCTCTTAGATGTGCTAATTTGTATATTTGCTTATTTAGGCCGTCTATGATGATGGTTCTCCTTGTATGATTATGGGACTATTCAGTCCTACGGATGTAAAATCTCTTATTTTATTGAATTTCAATCTATCGTTTTAGGAAAGGAAAAAAAAAAAAAAAAGGAATAATTCAAAATTTTAATAAAAATTCAAAACATAATATAATAATTGTGCGGAAAATTAGATAATTGGTCATAACAAAGAGAGGTTCGTTTTGCCTAGTTCAGATCAGACTAGACCTTTAATCTTGGTTCACTTTGCATTTTTTAACCAAAATTGCGGCACTTAAGATTGGTTTGGGCCCAAATGAAAAAACATTCCAAAACTATTGAATATTAGGGGATAAGGTGTGATTTTATTCATCCTACAGTGCAAATGTGAGGAAATAGAAATGACCCAAAAACATTCTATTTTTTGGGTTGTATTCCGGCCACAAATAAATTGGACAAAGTGTAAGGGATAAATTGATTAATTTTTACTCTATCTCAAGTATGTCATGACAAGCAAAAGTAGAAACTAAATTTTAACAAATACTAAGATAGACAAATTCATTTTAATCTCTACATGTCATCGCGTCACTCTAAGTAAAAATCACAAACTATTCACAAGCTATTCAAACAAGGCAAAGAAAAATCACAAACTATTCACAGTACCGATATCCAATCGTCAATCAAATGCAACCAATCTATCATTATATTAAAAGATTAACCATTTAACACTTTTAGCAAGTTTTTCCCGCCAAATACATTTAATGTCTCCTAAAAATAGAGCAGCATTAAATGTTGCCCTTAAATCATGGCAGTTGTTAATTTAGTTTGGAGAAAATCGTGGTAACTAAAACAAACAACATTAATTACAGTTGATTTAATATTTAAATGGTAAACAAATATTACTTTTTTATAAATTATTTAAATTTACGTCTGTTTAAAAGTAAAAAATTATTTTTGTAATTTCAACAAATTTGTACTCTTTAATGTACGGCTGATTTAAAATTAAGAATTTACATTTGTATTTTCACAAAAAATCGTATAAAGAAGTATGGCTGGAATAATAATAAAAAATTAATTTGTTTAACCATATTTTGCACTCATAGATATGAATTCTCATCAAATTCAAGATAATTGTGAAGAATGTATATATATGTGAACTGATTGAAGATATATGATTCCTTAAATTAAGGAATTTTTTTCGGTAAAAAAAAAAATATAAACTTTAAATATAGATTTTATTAGTAGTGTATACCAAAGAATATTGTTACATTTAAAATAACTATGAAGAAGAATTCTATTAATTTTCAAATTCAACATCTCATAAAAATAATATAATACACATTTACATTATGTGAAACAATATTTAAAACCCACCGTTCAACATGCATAAAATGTAAAATTACCTAACATGAATCATTTTAACTTTCTAAAATCAGTACACAATTTGCTCGGTATGTACTAATAGTCTAATAGTTAAGAGTTAATATTTGCTATGACATCTATTGGTTGGAAAGAATTCCATTTTGTATGGAATTCGAAATGAAAAAACATATTCTGAAAATCAAATATGGTTTAGAGATCGATTTCTTAATGGCCTTAAATTATGCAAATATATTGTTTCAGTTTTTAGGATTCTTTTTTATGATCTCAGTCTTTGTATTATATGAAATTTATACTTATATAAAAAGTCATCCTATTTACTAGAAATAGTAGGCAGAAAAGTCAAAGGTAATTAATGTTTGCTGGAAATAGAATGATATTAATTACAGATTTGTTTTGGTATTTATAGGCTTGACATTAAAGATTTGTTATTGGATAAAAATCAGAACCGATTTTTTTTACCTTTGCTAGAAAAGTCAAAGGTAAGTATAAATTTGTTTTATCCCATAGCATCGATTTAGTTAAAAAAATCCCATCAAATCAGTTTTATATGTCAAGCCTATGAATAAAGATTTAATCGGTCAAAATTAAATCCTTATTTTACGTCATCCATAAATAAAGTAGATGTCAAGCCTAAATTGAAGGGTTTAATTGTCTATATAGTCATTTATTTACGTAAATACATCTAATGTTTAAAGTTTGTGTAGATTGAAAATTCCTTCTTATCTTTTTACAAAAAATCTTATTATTATTGTATGCAAAATCAAACTCATAATGTTGTGTACAAGGTGGTCTTTAATAATATATGATTGTTTGTTTGTCGAATACTATCTTATTGTATAATTTTCCTGCGTATTATAAAACTTGTATTGAATATTGCATCTTATAATATAGTATTCCTCAAATAAATGTATCACGTGCCTCGCACGGGTTACGTACTATATATATCCCGTACATTTTTCTGTATTCATGTATATAATTATAAATTTGAATAAATAGCCTTAAATTTGTGCACCCCGTGCATCGCACGGGCTCTGTACTAGTATTTCATTAAAAACCTATTCCGTTCTTTTAACATTTTTATGTTATGATCAATCATAATATCAAAAGAGGAGGAATTCATTTGGAATTGTAAGAGACATTTCTAGACTCGACATTTGAGGCTTTTTAGAATTTAAAATATGAGAGGAATCTTTCGGAATCTGCTATGAAATTTAGGATGAAATTTCATATAAGATTTTTGTTTATGAAACCCTAATAAATATTAAAAAATTATAGTAAATTTCAGTGTCAAATAAAGTAAATATCTTGTGATTTGTTAAGATTTTTTTTTTTTAAATCTTAAATCAAGAACTCATGACTTATTAAGAGTTTGAAAAACTTTTTAAAAGCTTAAATTAAATAAATAGAATTCATAAAGTCCCATAAAATCTTTAAGAATCTTTACATGAATACACCCTAAAAATTCATTCTTCCTTATATTATTAGGCACTATTCTCCCCAAAAATGAAAAAGCATGAAAAGAAAAGCCAAAATAGTCACACCCTAAAACATTTCATCTATATTTGTATTTATACAATGGATCAATCCATATTGCCATAAATGGCATGATTTTAGGAGGGAAATATTTTTCGTCTACATTTGACATTTTCTTAATCTTTATTTATTAGCAAATCTTATGTATGAAAATATAATTAATTTTAGTATACTCAATGGCTAATATTCATTCACTATAAATTAACTAAAATAAAATTATTTCACTGGAGACTGATTATATATATTTTCAATATGATCTTATATTAATTTCTCGGTAATTTATTGACACAATTCAAAAAAATATTATAAAACTTGATTTAATCAAATATATTATCATCTATGGTTATAGGTTTTAATTTAGTTAATTATATTCACCATTCAGAAGTACTTAAAATATTTAATAAAATAATCTAAATAACATAAAATATTTGATAAAATAATCAAAATAACTTAAAATAATTAATAAAATAATCAGAATATTGTGTTTCAATCATAATAACTTAATGAATAATCTAAAATGTTAATAAGTGTTTCAAAAATGTAGTCAACTTAACCATAAAAAGGTACATCTCCATTGAATATCATTTTTAATGATAATACTATTGAAAATAAAAAATAATATATTAATATTAGTAAAATTAAAATTTGATGGTCGAGTACAATTCAGAATTATAAAATTCACCTTAGAAATTATGTACATTAAATAAATATTCAAGTTCTAAAAATATATAATTTTTATTATATATTATTTTATAAATGAAAATAAGTCAATAAAATAGTCATGTATAATATTTAAATTATAGTACATAGTAATTATGGAAATATAAATACATCTAAGTATTAGAATAGATACTAATTAACTCATTAGGTACGTTGAAAAGTGAATTAAAGAAACAAATATAAACAAAAAAATTAAAATAAAATATTTAACCATAAAAAAAATGTGCAAGGATTAAAGTTACAAAAAATTAAATTTATTTATCAAACTTTTTAACATTTCATGCACATAATATTATTATAAAGTATGATAAATATTATGGGATAAACATTGGTCAATTTTTGAGCAATGTGCAAATTATGGATTGTTGAAAAAGTTAGAAGACTATGATAATCGACGATTATATAAGTACAAGTAAGTACTTTGTATGCAAATAACATATGATCTTATACGTTTATAATATTTTATAAACCTATAAGTAATAAATTTATATATTAAATAGTCAAAATCTATAAAAAAAATAAAAAATAGAAAATAATAATAATAATAATACTAAATAAACAAATTTCATATGATTACTGAATTGAATATTGTGGGGAATATAATCTCATAGTCTTAAAAAATTAATAATATTTAAAATAATAAAATATTTTTTGTAGTATTTCTCGTGCATTGCACGGGTTTCAACACTAGTATGTATAATGGACCAATTCATATGGCAGTAACTGACATGATTTTGGGCGGAAAATTTTTTCGTCTGTATTTGACATTTAATTAATATTTATTTATGAGCACATCTTATGCATGAAAAATGTAATTAATTTTTACACTCAATGGCTATTACTCATTAATTTTTATACTCAATGGCTAATTAATTTGTACATCTTATGTACAATATAAATAAAATTATTTAACTTGCATGTTAATCTTTATATTGATGACATAAATTTTAATGAACAATGTAATTTTGTAATTCTTTAGAGGGATCATACGATTAATTAGTTAGAAAAGTATTACAACTATTTTTAGTGTTGTTATAATAATTACTTATGTAATTTTAAGGAGTTTAATTATAACACTCATGTCAATTAACTAATACTAGAGAAAAACCGCTTAATAAGACGAAAAATAATATTTATTATAGAATAAGTATCTTAATACAAAAAATTGCAACGCGATTTTTTATAAGTATGTAACTTTCACATTCTATTTAATGTAAATTTATAATTAACTAGTATTAGTAGTAATTATTACATAATAAAATAAATTTAAATTATTATTACACTTCATTAATGTATAATGTAATAGTTCCACATTAATTAAAAAAAAAAAGAGGTTTTTGGGTGGGAAAAAGAAGAGAGGTTTTATTAAATGTTTCATTTATGATAAATAGTTCAAACGAGATATTACAATTGCGACTTTCTTTTTTTTTTCTTTTTCGAAACAATAGAGATATTATATATAAATGATAGAGGTATTATATAATCACGACGTTAATAATAAAACGAGACGCTATTATGGCACACCATAATAGCCCGACCCAGCACCGAAGCCCGATGGTGCTCTTAGAGGTCTATATCCATTTGCAAAGCCATGTCCATATCCAAAAGGATCTGTTAAAGGTCCATGTCCATTTGCAAAGTCATGTCCATATCCACAAGGATCGATTCTATTTCCCTCATCATCAGCCACATCATCATTGGTTTTATTGTCCTCGGTTCTCGCATTAATCTTCTCGTCCTTCTTCTTCTTCAACAAGTCCACCACACCTTCAAGTGCCATGTCAGCATCCTCGTTCCTCATCAAGTGCTCCGCCACCTCAGCCGGAGTTATCTCAATCTCTCCAATCAAATCCTTAATCTCACCAATCATCGGGTGATGATCCTCGACTACTCCCAAGTAGTTCTTGGCCAACGTATCGAAACCTTGTGCCGTGCAGTAACCCATGCTAATGTGCATGTCCATTCGCCCGGGCCGTAAAAGTGCCGGGTCAATCTTTTCCTTATGGTTTGTGGTGAAAACAATTATCCTCTCGTCCCCACACGTGGACCAAAGCCCGTCTATGAAGTTCAGCAGGCCCGACAAAGTCAACTGGTCTTGTGGTCCTTGGCGGGCCAGAAGGGCAGCATGGCCCGGCCCATTTCTACTCTGCATTTGTCGACTGCAGTCAATGTCCTCAATCACCACAATGGATCGATTATTTGTGTTAAGAAGCATCGTCTGCAAACCCATGTTGGAGTAGATGCCCGTGAGCTCGAGGTCGTACACGTCGAACTTGAGGTAGTTGGCCATGGCTGCCACGAGGCTGGATTTTCCAGTGCCTGGGGGGCCATACAGGAGATATCCCCTCTTCCAAGCCTTGCCTACTCTTCTGTAGTAATCCCTCCTCCTCACGAATCGGTCGAGGTCCTCGATCAGGGCCCGTTTCAAGTCGTGGTCCATGGCGAGGGTCTCGAAAGTGGCCGGGTGGTCAAGGTTCACGTAACCCCACAGCCCGGCCCGGCCCGCGCCGGGCTCATCTTCGCAGCCGCCGGCCATGTACTGGCGAGTGGAGTACAGCCTCACAGTGCGATCCTTCTCCTTTATCTCCTTGGCCCTCAGGAGGACTAAAGGGAGGTAGTCGTTGACCACGGTCTCCCTGTTTGACTTGTCGAACGACAGCTCAAAGTAGCGCTTCTCCTGACGGTAGTTTCCGGATGACTGGACCGGCTCCACGTGGACAAACTGCCACGTCAGGTCGAAGCCGGCGAACCGGTCCTCGACCGGCAGGTTCTGGACAAGACCGAGGGTGATGGTCTTCTGTTTGGCGGTCTTGTGGACCCGAAGGCGGTCTGAGTCCGGGCGGAGTTTGGTTTGGAGGTAGATCTCGGCGGATTCGTAGATCTGGTTTGGGAGGAGGCCGGCCTTTTCGTCGACGACGAGGGTCGTGCGTTCGAGTTTGTGGGAGGAAGGGAAGAACCGGCGGAGGAGGCGGAGAAGGTAAGGGCCGACAGTGTAGAGGAAGAAGGATCGGATCGGCTGCGGGATGGCGTCGTTGGCGATCGATCGGAATAGCATGACGGTGGCCGCCATTGAGGCGTAGGCGGAGAAGTATCTGGTCGCCATTGATTGAACCTCCGCAAATGATTGCATCTTTGCGTCTTTTGATTTTCCGTTTGATGATTTGGGGATTTTTTTTTCTTCCGTTACTGCTGCTGAGTTTGTGTCCCTTATATAGGGAAGAGGAGGAGTCCAGAATTGTTTAGGGATGCGGTGACGTGGGGATATGAGATTGGTTAGGGAGAGGCGGTAGTGAGGTAGGGTTTAGGGGATTGTGCGTAGGAACGATATTCCGGCTTGGGGGGCACGCATATTTCAAAATTCAGAGTATACCATAATATTGTTTTAAATTACTCTTTTCGTTCCAGCTATTAGACAAAAATATTAAATTAATTACTTTCACAAATTCTGCTTAAATTTAAAAAGTAATTGAGTTATTATATATTTTACGCACCTTTTAATCGTGATTATAATTCATTTTTTACTTATTTTAATCAACATTGTTTTTTTAGTCAGAACATTAAACATGAGCATGTTAGGGTTAACTTGTAAAATAAATAATACATTATCTCACTAACATATTTATACTAATATAAATTTAAGTTTAGTATATATATTTATTTCTTTGATATAAGAGAAAATAACAGTTTTATTAATTCTTAATCACTATATAATAGTTAATTATTATTTTATTTTAAACTTTGTGGTCATATAATGTCATTATAAAAGTTATAAAAATTGTACGTCTTTTTTTTTTTATTTTATGTAATGAAAAATATTTATTATTTAATACACGTTAGTAATATTTATTTATGTAATCAATTTAAAATATGTAAATGGATTTACAAATAAATAGTGTATAAATATTTTATAAAATATACACACATGTTTTTTTCGAATTTAATTTTGTATACTATTTAAACAACTTTGATTTAGGAAATGTCAAAAACTCAATTCCTTCTATAGTCAAGATTTTTCTAATTTGCGTTATAAGGATTGATAATTTATTTAGCATACTCATCAATGAAAATATATTTTGCAATAATTTCATTACAGAAAGAAATTAAAATAAAATAAATAAAAAATATATAATAATGGTTATTAATAATATACAAATAAATATTAAAAAACAATTAATATATTTCAATTTTAATTTTTTATCATTAATAAAACTATTTAAGGCATTTAGTCACTATCTCTTAAATGTTAAATTATATTAGTTTGAAGAATAATTTATTTTTTATATATAAACGAAATAAAGCTTAAGAGAAAATTATATTGATAAAGATTAATTCACCAATTTGGTTTTCCCTGATTCATTGGAAGAAAAAATTCTACCTAACCTTTACGATTTTTTATAATTATATTTTGAATAAAAAGTGAATATTTGTGAAAAAAGTTAATATTATGGTTAGAACTTAAAATATGTTGTAATATTTATTTTGACCGTCATATTATCAACATGAATCACGGAAAATCAATATTGTAATTTATTATAATGAATATCAATAAAATTATTGCAAATATTAATAAAATTATTTAAAAAAATAATATTTTTGATCATATCTGATTTGTTTTTATTTGAAAAAACGTATACAAAAGCACTTAATTAATGCATATATTTAAAAAAAATTTTAAAAAGGGTATGCATTAAATACTATAAAAATTTTTTACTACTATTTTTAGTAAATAGTTATTCTTATCATATATATATATATATATATAGATAAAAAAAAAGGAATAGCTCAATGGTTTAATAAAAATTCAAAACAAAATAATAATTCTGCGGAAAATTAGATAATTGGTCATTTAACTTGTTAAAATATTTGTTTCACGTTGTTGGACAAACCTTAATATTTCCTTCATGATTTTTTGGTTGACAATCAAAACAAATTTATGAAAAAATATTTGAGACTTTTAATTGTTAATTGATAAGTTCCTACATATTAGTTATTTAGTATATGTTGTTTGTAATTATTATAAATAGATTATGAAGTGTTAAATCTTTCTAAAGGACTAGTAAAATGCACGTGTGCACGTATTATATGATTCATATTTTTTTTGTGATTTAAACAAAAGAACTTAAATAGTTAGCTAGATAGATGAAGTACAATTACATTATGAATTATGCCAAATGTATTAAAATTGGAAACATCATCTTTAATGATGCTAATATTTTGGCTATGTCAAAACATCATGAAGTGTGAACCGGTTACTGGTACAAATAACATAAAGAAATGTTAATAAAAAAGAGTGCAGAGATATTTGGTTACTAAATCTTCATTCTCTGTATTAGTCTTGCTTGTTATAATCCTTTTTAGTTTAAGAAAATTTGCAAAATATGCCACTAAATGAAATAACTATTAAAAATAACACTATCACAAAATATAAATAATTAAAACTATTTTCTAATTTCATTTTAATGTATATTCCATCCTTATCCATGATTGATTTTTTTTTATAAATTGTTATAATAAATAATTATATATATATATATATATGTATATATTCATAATGTTTGGGCCCAACTAAATGTAAAATTGTAAATAAAAGCGGCCCATATTCACTAATCACAAAAAAAAAAAAAAATGAAAACTAGTCCCATAGGTACAGTGTCATGCCAAGTGTGATGATTATTATCAACATGTCAAGAAAAATTGTCACATCATCGCGACGTGGCTTTTCGATCGAAAACGCATTAAAAATCCTATTTTTGATTAATTTTCGAAAGTTTTGAGACTATTTTGATTTTCACTATTCTGTCGGTACTGAAAATGTCATCTTCCTATACCTATTGGACTAGTTTTTAAATTTTTCGATGTCAAGTGCTACTGTTCTCATATTATTTGATATTCTAATTCTAATTTTTTGTCTCCATTGAGTATCTTTGTAACAGTAAATAAAAAAATAATGATAATTTTCATCACCAGATATTTGTCTCGCCTCTCCTTTTCCAATGTTTCTTTTATGCATTGTTTTGCAGACTTGACTGGCCTAGAAGGTCGATTTGGAACTCGATCGACGCGGAGTCGTAACCGATCTGGGTGGATGTTCCGAACCGGGTACAAACCTGATCAACCCGGCTTTGACCCCAATCGACCTAGCTAGGTCAATCCAATTTAATTCAATCATCATTATGGTTTTTTTTAGAATATATTTTTTTATTTTAAAAACAAAAGCTCTATATATATATTTAAATATTTTTTTTATCAAATACAATATTATTAAACTTTTTATTATAAAATTATATACAAGTTATATAACTTTATTTTATATATATTTATACAATATATATATATATATAATTAAAAAAGTTTTAAAATCAACTATTCAATTCAATAATGGACCCCATGACCCAGAGTTGTGCTCGAGTCAATAACCCGCGTGCCCAAATTTAAAAAATTTGCTTTTATGTGGTAAAGTCTGCCAATTGTACATAATTCACGGTCCCAACAAAATATGTCTTGATACAACGCTTTTGTACGCATGATGCATGGGGTCGGGATCCTTAATTAACCTCTTGTCTTATTGTACTATCCTTGGTACTTTATTTTATGAACAGTACATGATACTGCCAACACATGGCAGATATATTTTAGGAATAGTACATAGTATTGCCCCATTCAACATTCCAAGATATGAATTCAAAATTTCGTGAGTAGGGATTATTTTTTTATTTTTTATTTTTTATTTTTTATTTTTTTGCAAATCAATAACACGATAAATGTGTGTGATCCAATTGCAAAAACTCACGGTGAGGACAGTCCTTTTTCACCGGAAGGATCGACTTTACCGTGACTTGTTATGAAAAAATAATACTCAATTATGGCCATACACTTTCATAATTGGTGACAATATAGCATTGATGATTGGTGCTTTTGTTAACTTGTTGTTTAATTAGATATTCAACAATCTTAATTAAACCATTCATGCACCTTTAGTAAAGTGAGATGCAATGTGTTTGATGACAAAAATGTATATTTCAAAAAGCCCGAAAAACATATCAAAAGCATATCTATCTATCTATATAAATTAAGCAGCAAAGAGAGAGTTGCGCTGTAGACCGAAAAATAAAAACAGGAAAAAAGATATGTTTTTTTGTAAAAAGTTTTCCTAGTTTTGTTGCACACCTCATATCATACATTATATGATAAAATAAAACATTAATTAAATCAACACAGTCAAATTACACTTCTGAACTGGACCCATCAGTCAACAACAACATATTGCAAAAAAACAGTCCGAAAATTTGAAACCAACCCTAAATTACTAGCTAAAATCTCCAAAATCCCAAGATCAAACTATAGAATTTTGGACTTGTCAATTGTCTTGCCCGAGTTCACCATTCTCGATTTTACTACTTTTCTTGTCAAGCAAGAAATCGAGCACCCCACGAAGGCAGACATCAACATCGTCAGTCTTCATGAGTTCCTCAGCAACCTCAGCTGGGGTAACATTCATGTCCTTGATCACGGCCTCGATTTCCGTGAGGCTCGGGTGATGTTTGGGGACGTCAAGGTAAGTCTGGGCCAGGAGCTTGAAGCCTTCGGGCTTGAGATAGGACATGTGGATGTGCATGTCCATGCGGCCCGGACGAAGTAGGGCCGGGTCCAGCTTGTCCTTGTTGTTTGTGGTGAATATGATGATGCGTTCATCGCCACAGCTTGACCAGAGACCATCTATGAAGTTGAGTAGGCCCGAAAGCGTCAACTGCAGAGAAATTATTTCAGAGAATCAGAAGAAATAAAAATATATATGTATTATATAAATAATTAATGCTTCTGTGTAAGGGGTGTTAATCTAGTGAAACTTTCGATTCATTGAATCTTATCTTATCGTGTACTTATGAACGTTTCTTAATCTCTAAGGAAAAATCATTTCTATTACGTAAAAATTTTGTGTGAGACTGTCTAATGTCAAATAAATCTATTTGATGTACATTTTAAAGAAAAAAATGAATAATTCGTGCTATGAAATGTCACGGCTTTGTTTATATTGTTTTTCAAAAGACGACATTTCAATTTTAAAGTAAGTAAAAATATAATTATTTAACCATTAGATCTGCATAACAATAATCTCGATGAGTTACTATTTCTTTTAGTAGAGTCATGTAGCGGTAGTCATTAAAACTCGTGATGTGTTAAATTGAACACACAAGTAGCATCAAAATCCCAAAATACAGTTATTAATTATCACAAATAATGACCTACCATTCCATTTTCCTGTAAAATGAACCCCCACCATAACACTTGATAGTCACTTAGTTAGGTACAATAAATTTTCAATTTAGCCAGAGTCAACAGCATAATAATTAATTAAGTAAGGAATGAAAAGACAACAAAATTACTGACCTGCTGATCCCGAGGAGGATAGGGGCAGCACTGACCGTCACCAGAGACGGGCCCTTTAGTACCCTTCCTCTCCGGCAACTCAACCGTACAGTCAATATCCTCAATTACAAGTATCGACCGATTCCCAGTCCTCAGCAACAATCTCCTCAAATCCGAATCCCGCTTAACATTCGTCAACTCCAAATCATAAATATCAAACCTGAGATAGTTCGCCATCGCAGCTATCAGGCTCGATTTCCCAGTCCCCGGCGGCCCGTAAAGCAGGTAACCCCTCTTCCAGACCCGGCCCACTTTCCTGTAGAAATCCTTCCTCCTCACGAACCTGTCGAGGTCCTCGATGATGGATTTTTTCAATCGGGGCTCGATTGCCAGCGTGTTGAAGGTCGACGGGTGCTCGAGGTTGACCGAGACCCAGGACGCGTAGGTTGACGCGCAGGCCAGCGTGTGGAGCTTCACCACCTTGTTCTGTTCGGCGATTGATTTTGCAGCGGCCATCACGAACGGGATGTATGAATCGAGGACTCTTTCCTTGTGCCTTTTGTCGAAACAGAGCTCGAAAAACCTCTTCTCCGACGAATCTTCGTGGTGGTGGTCGACGGCGGACTTGGAGGGGTGGTGGTGGTTGCGGTGGTCGGCGTTGACGAAGCGCCAGTGGAGGTCGATGTCGTGGAATTGGTCGGGGATGAGTTCGGATTGGGCGAATCGGAGGGTGAGGGTTGGGTGATTTGGGCGTTTGGTGATTTTGAGGCGGTCGACGTTGGGGCGGAGCTTTTTGGTGCAGAGGTAGGTCTCGGCGGAGGAGAAGAGCTCGTTGAAGGAGATGCCGTCGCGCTCCTCGACGACGAGGGTGGCGCGGCTGTGGCGGGGGCGGAGGAGGTAGCGGCGGAGGGTGTCGGAGAGGTAGGAGCGGAGCTGGCGGGGGAGGAGCTGGTTGAGCATTGTCTGGACGAGGACGATGAAGGCGGAGATGGAGGCGTACGCGGCGAAGACGGAGGATGGGTGGGGGACGGAGGAGAAGGAGACCGCCATTTTTGTTTGTGATATGTTTTTTGAGTTTGGTGCTTTATTTTATTTTTTATTTTTATTTTATTTTTTGGGAAAAAAACTAAACAAGAGGTTAATTTTTTCACATGGGTTTTGAGGGGGACTTCAGTCAATGCAAAGAGAGTGGGCAATTTTGGTGTGGTTGCTTGTTATATATAGGATTTAGGCCCTGTTTCTAAAAAGATAAATTCAATCAAATTAGTTTAAAGTGAGTTTTTTTAGTTAATTATGATTAATTTAAAAAAAATAGTATAGTCAGTTGTTACTGGGATTTTGAGAGTATATTAAAATAATATTTAAAATAAAATAATTAAAGTTGATTTAATGTAAAAATAGAAGATAGATGATATGATATGATGGTTAGCTAAAATTATGTAAGTAGATGAATAGTGAATTAAAGTTGATAGGATGTGTAAAAATGATTGGTTGTTATTATTTAATTATATTGATAATATTGAGATCTATATATATTGAAAAAGGTTGATGTTAAAATCAATTGTGAAAAGTTAAAAAAAACCAGTCAAAACTTTGACTTACTATTTTTGGAAAATCTTTGAAAATCCGGATTTTTCTTTTGGTTTTCACGGAGCAAAAATCTGTTTATTTGAAATTCTTTTACGGGAATAAAATCCGGAAAATCCGGCATTTTTTCTCCACGCGTTGTGAAATTGTTTGCTTAATATATCGTCAAAATTGTGTATAATTTTTTTTTTCCTAAGTTGCCTAAGGTCACGCGTTGCCAAAATTTTCTAAATTGTCTGGATAGATAAATATGACTATCTATGTTGATCCTAAAATTATGTTGAGAAGATCTTTTAATTTTATAATCATTTTTATAAAAGTCAATATTTGGTCACTTGCTATGAGTTCAATTTTTTAAGAACAAAGAAATCTTCTTTATTTAATTAGATATGCTTCCAGGTCGTTACCTTCAAAAATTTAAACATTTACAATTTTATCGACAAATATTTTTTGTACATTCTCTAAAATCATATGTAACAATAATTTAATTAAAATATTTCATTTTATAATATGAAATTATTATGTAATAAAATGAAATTTAAAATATAGCATGGAAAATTCAAAATGTTGTTTAATAAATAAAATAAAATACAAAATTTATTGAATCCAAACAGTTGTTATTAATAAATAAAAATAGAATTTCATAGTTATTTACAAACAATATAATTTGACATATAGCAATGATTAAAGTAAAATTATGTTATCTAATAAAATAAGATTTAATAATTGTTATTTTCAATAAAGATCAAAATGTCAAAATGTTTCGAAATTAACGTAAAAAATTAGGAATGATTAACAAGTAAATAATTTTGTTGAATAATATATTTCTAAATTTATGATACAGGTGCCCAAATCTAAATAAAGACACATTCAAATTATATATATATATATATATATATATATATATATATATATATATATAGGGGTTGGTTCAAATAAAAACTAGTCCTGGTGTGAGAACCGTGAGAACCATATTTGATGTTATTTTTAATTGTGTATGTTGCTATTTTTAATCTCACATGGTGCTATCATTTTTACAAATGTTAACATAAATTGTGTTGCTATTTTTAATAAAATACATCCTGATTAAAAATAGCACTAAAATACAATCAATCATAGCACTACATACAATTAAAAATAGCGGTTCTCACGGTTCTCACGCTAGGACTTAGTTCTCATTTGAACCAAATCCTATATAATATATATATCATAATTGTATGTTATAAATTCAAATTGGGTGTTGTCGAGAATCAAGAGATTTGTCTTTTTCCTAGCCTGATNAAATTAACAATTTATCTTTAATAACAAATAAATCTTATCCTAAAAAACAAATCGTGTGTTCTTTTATTTTGTTGGTATCCAGCCATATGTAGACCAAAATTGGTACTATAAGGACAAAATATAAGTACAAAATAAATTTAGAATTTAATTATAAAAATCTTATTCATATAACTACCAAAATACTATAATAAAATTGGTATCTCAATATTAATAATAAATATCTGCGATTTTGTATTCATTTCGTAACAAGTCGTGCATATACAAGTAATCATCTATTTAAGGAGTTTAAAAACATTATTTGATTTTATCAATAACTGCACCAAACTAATTTTTGAAAAATTCATATTGTGATTCACAATATCATAAAAAATCTCATATAAATTAATATATAAGAAAGAAAAATTAAAATATCTATAATATTATAAATTATAAGAAAAAAATAAAATAACATGGATGTAATTCAAAATTAGTTTTTGTAACTTCAATATAATATAAATTACAATTTGTTTTTCAATAAAGTGTTGGTTATAATATTTGCTACAATTTTTCAACATTACCTAACTTAGTTAGAGATCAAAATATGATATTGTAACAAGGAATAAATAAGAAAAATATTCCATGAATATTATTTACTGATAATATTTGAATATTTTAATTTTTCATTGGACTTAATTATGAACAATATCTAAAATGACACTATTTTATAACGAGTGAAATAAACATGTAAATCATATATTAAGTTATTATATATCATAAAATAAAAAAATATAAATATTAATATTAAAAACTATTTTTATACTAATCAATATTTCTTCATTGATTTAAAATATAGAATTATAATTATCATCCCGTGCATCGCACGGGTTACGCACTAGTTGAATTAAAATTGAGTTATATTTTGAATATGAATTAATTTGGTTTGAGTAATTCTTTTACAAATACGCTCATTTTGTGTAAAAAAGTATGGATAGAAACACAAATAATACGTACTTCTACTACGTGTCTCGACTTTATTTATGTTCACGTGTTCTATTTTTTATATTATTTTCTTGATATTTTACAAACACAAATCCATTATTAGATCATGATGTGGTTGATCACAAATGTTCTCAAGAATCAATTTTCTTATAATCCACTAATTCCAGCAATATTTGATCATTGCCTGGGACTTTATTCTTCAGGTAATTGAGTTTCTAAAAAACAATTAACCGACACTTCGCACTCATTATTGAGGTCGTCGTTACTATTTCCTTTTGCTTATGCATGCCTAATGCGTGGTTTGTCCTTATTGCAAATATAAAGAGGACAAGCTATAAAAGTACTATCAAAAATAAGGAAAAAAATTAAATGGGTAAAAGCTCAAAAGAGTTTTTGTCTTACAGATTATTATAACAAGTTGGCTAGTTGGGACATTAAAAATACAGCAAGGACTTTCCTTTTTTTCCCTTACACTTTTGATGTCAAATAAACACATTCAGTGAGGAAAACCATTGATACAAGGAAACTCTGTTTTAAAAAATTGACCTTTAGGGTGTGAGATGGTTGTGCTGGTTGATGCTGAGCCGTCCGATTTCATCTGAGGCAAGGATATGCAACCTGTGAGTGACACTTGTCCTAAAAACTAGATAAACTTGTGTTCTTGAAACAGGGCAAATAGTTAAAGTGGTCCAATTGGTTCATTTGGAGCCTAGTACAAAATCTGTGACAAATGGGCCACAAGAATCACCAGCTAATGATTTTTTCACCTTTTTCTTGATTGTTAGCTTTTACTGTAAAGATGATGGGGAATGAGAAGGACAGCCATATGGAAGAATGCAATGAGTATTGGGTACAACAAACCAATGCGGTTCTCTTCAAAGTCTGATTCGGTAAAGGTATATTTGTACTGTGTAGGGTTGGTTTGTTTGTTGCAATTATAATTCATTTCATCTTTATGTGTTGATATGAGACTTTACCAAAATGAAAGAAATGCAAACATATAGTACAAGACAAAAGAGTTTAATGGGTATCTTAGAGATTGGATATAAGAAAAAAACTCAATAAAAAATTAATTATTTTTCAAATACGATATATATAATTAAATAGTATAAATCAATCATTCTTACACATGACCATGCACCGAAGACTCATAGACTTCCACAGCGCTCTGTCCTAGGGTGAAAACTCATCTTAAGACTCCCTTGTTGGTGTATGTGTCCTAGAGACAATCTTTTTAAGGACATATATACATCATCACATTAATAATTATATTATATTATAATTATGGTATTGCAATTAATTAAATAATTGTTTAATTTTTTGCAATTTATTAATTAATTGCTCCCTTGAGTTGACACTGTCATTAACAGAGTGAGATGTTAATTGATAAAATATAACTCTAAAATCGCCTAAATCGATGATCATTAAGAAAGAGATATTAATGATACGCGATAGATTGTCATGTGGTCTGCATCACATTCTTGGAGAATATAGTAAGTCTCACTGCTATGAATAATTGTTATTCGTGATGAACACATGGATACTTTGGAGAGTATTGGCATACCCTACCGATAAACCATTTGTTTATGTGTCTATGGGAATATCGGTGTGTAGAATGGTGTAATAGTCCTTTGACTTGAGGTCAATACGCAATTCATGTATAGAGTGATTTACTTAGACCTAGTCCAACGCTTACGCCCTTATGGGTAGATACGAGCTTGTGTTGGGTTGATCATGATATACATGGAATTGGTAGTTGAGCTAAGATAGGTTTCATTCCTCGAATATGGTTTCGAGAGAACACTCGTTTTCTCTATACTGGGTTGATAAAGGCATTGACCAATGCACGTGATTATATTTGAAATGGTGTTCAAATATAATTAATTAAAATCAACCAGTGAGATGAGATAAAATGATTAAGCTGTTTGGATAGACACACGTTCAAATCCTAAACTTAATGATATTCATTATATTTTCATGCATTATGAGTGATATATTGTGATATTTGGCCCTGGTTATCGTGTGATTGTGCACCATTTTGGTTTATTTATTAAACTATGATAGAGGTGTTTTTGTCGTTGTTTTGCAAGAAATATGCCCGGAAAAGCGTTGAAAATAGAATCGGGACGAAAAACGGCGAAAACGGGTGCAGAAGAGGTCACACGACTCGTGTGGGTAGTGACACGGGTCGTGTGGGTTGAGAAAATAAGAAACGCAGCTACGGCTTTTTCACACGGGTCGTGTGGGTTGAGACACGGGTTGTGTGGCCTCACACGACTCGTGTGACCCGGTCGTGTGACCAGTCTGTGAGTCTGGAAGTTTGCCGAAACGTTGAGAAAAGTCACACGACTCGTGTGGCATGTGACACGACTCGTGTGACGCGCAGACTAGTTCAGCGGGGAATAGGATTCTTGTGCGATTTCTTTCCTTTTTCGACCCAGAATAGCCCTACAGTATAAAACAGACCTTAGGAACTCGTTTTTGGGACTTTTGTCACCATTGGAGGCCTAGAGAAAGCACGAAACACACGAGGAATTCGAGAAAGTCAAGATTGAAGATTCGGGAACTAACGGCGATAATAGTTCTTCTTTCTTTTCTCTTTTTCTTCTTCATTGAACTCATGAATATATTTATTTTGAGTTTTGAGAATATGTTTAGTAGCTAAACCTTTTAGGGATTTTAGGATTTGCGAGTACTCGGATTATTTTATGAAGTGATTTTGTTTATTCATTCCGGTTTATCATTCGTTTATCAATTTCTTGTGCTTTTATTAATTGTGTGAATATAAGGGCCCGTATTTATGCATATTTGTGATTGACTTGAGACCAAGAGGAGATAGTTGATTGCTAGAATTGGGAAATTCATAACGTAAGAGACTAAACAGACCGAGAGGTTGATAGAATCTTGCGAGGGAATTAGAATCTTAGGAGCTTATGGGAGTTGATTGTTCATCTTGAGACCGAGAGGAGATAGATGACAATTAATATCTACGATTTAACTTGTTCGAGAGAAAGATGTAAATTACTTTAGTGATTATCCCTACGAATGGTAGAATTAAATAAGGTTTGAATGAATAGGAAATCTTTGTTAGAATAATCCCGAGGAAAGCATAGCCTAGAATCTATTTTCTCATTCTTGATTTATTTAGAACAAGCCTTCATTAGTGTTAGAATTTATTTTGCAATCATTCATTAGTTTAGAATAAAATCACCATATAAATTCACATTAGACTGAATAATATTTAACCATTTACATTTTGATACTTAGTTAATTTTGACAACAATCTCTGTGGAATACGACCTTGCTCGCCACTCACTATAGCTATACCGTACACTTGCGGGTAGTGAAAATATTTTGCGAACAAGTTTTTGGCGCCGTTGCCAGGGATTGTTTTGTTAAAATTAATTAATATTAGAAGAAGACGGGTAGATATTACTTTAGTCATTTTTATTTTTGTTTTATACTTTGGTTCCTAACTGCATCCTTTTTGGTTTGTGTGTTTTGACAGGTACTTGCATGATCACGAGGTCTAATGGGAGTTCGCCCGCAAAATTTAACCCGAGATTGAAGCTAGTTGCCGAAGGAACAACGCAAACCGGAGACTACAACAACGATTAAGAGGTGCAATGGAGGAACAAAGTGAAGAGAGGTACAGACAGCTCCAAGAGCAACTGGCAGAGCTACAACGCCAGCTAGCCGAGCAGCAGGCTCAACAGGAGACAGGATCACCGGTCCGGAGCATCTTCCAACCTCAAGCTGACCAAGTATATGGAGGAGGTCACGGGCCGAGAATTGCTGCTAACACTTTTGAGTTGAGCCCGTCCTTGATTCGTATGGTTCAAGAGCAGTTTGGGGGAGGTGCTATCGAGGACCCGAATGCGCATCTGGCGCAATTTCTGGAGATATGCAGTACTGTGAAGTACAATAGAGTCCCGGAGGATGCTATTCGCCTCCGTCTTTTCTCTTTCTCTCTTAGAGACAAGGCGAAGGTTTGGTACAATTCTCTGGAAACCGGGACAGTGTCATCGTGGGAGGAAATGCGTCAGAAATTTCTCTTGAAGTTCTTCCCACCGAGTAAGATGTTGAGACTTCAGACGGAGATCACTCAATTCAAGCAACAAGATAACGAGCCTTTATATGAGGCTTGGGAGCGCTACACGCAACTCCTTCGGACGTGCCCACAGCATGGTTTTTCGGAGGAGCACCAGATTTGTTACTTCTACAATGGGTTGAGTGGCCCGATGAAGGCCATGGTGGATGCCTCAGCTGGAGGTGCTCTATTGGGAAGGCGACCAAATGACGCGAAGCGGATTCTTGAGGAGATGGCTTCGAATAGCTATCAATGGCCGATTGAGAGAACTATGCTTAGGAGGGTCGCGGCGACTAATGAGACGGACTCAACGTCATCTATTGCGGCTAATGTGGTGGCATTGTTGATGAATAACTTGCAAGGAATAAAGACTGAGAGTGTAGGAGTTGGAGAACCGGTCGAGGACGTGAATTATGTGAATAATCAGAATTTTGAGAATTTTCGAGGGCCTCAAGCGGGCAACACTTATTACCAAGGCAACCGGAATCACCCCAATCTCTCATATGCGAATCCGAATAATGCTCTACAGCCACCCCCAGGATTTTCGGTGACCAATGGGGTCATCAACGAGCCAAAGAAGCCACCAATCGAAGATGTGCTAGCCTCATTCATGACTAGCACACAATCATTTATAGATCAGACAAAACAATTACTGAGCGCGAATGACGCACGGATGGCGTCAATGGAGAATCAACTGAAGTCGGTGGAGCAGCAGATTGGCCAATTGGCAGCGGCAGTTGGGAGTCAACATCAGAAAGGACAATTTCCGAGCAACACAGTCCGAAGGAGCAATGCAATGTCGTCCATGTTCAGGAGGAAAGGGATGAAGTTAAGAAGCCGCCGAATGGTAAAGTGAAAGAAGTCGAGCCCGCTATGATTGAAAAGGTCGAACGACGTTTCAAGGCGTACGAGGTTGTGGCTATGACAGAGGAGAGTAGCGCGAGAATTCAAAAGAAGTTGCCCTTCAAATGCAAGGATCCTGGGTGCTTTACTATTGAGTGCTCTATTGGAGATTTCCATGTTGAGAAAGCGTTGTGCGACTTGGAGCTAGTGTGAATGTGATGCCCTTATCCATGTTCGAGAAGTTGAAGTTGGGGATGGAGAAATTTAGGCCCACGACTATTGCACTCCAAATGGCGGATAGATCATTAGCCCATCCGAGAGGTATTTTAGAGGATATCATGGTTAAAGTCGGTGATTTCATATATCCGGCGGATTTTATTGTGCTCGACATGCTTGAAGATGATGATGTTCCGCTAATTTTGGGGCGACCGTTTCTTGCTACCGGACGAGTATTGATAGACATTGAGCGCGAAGAGCTCACGTTCCGGGCGTTTGATGAGCGTTATACGTTTGTCATTGATCGAGGGCCAAAGAGAAAGAAAGT